AATGCTCTAGGTTACAATGAGGTAAGTGAAGTGTTCTGGCTATAGTATCTGGGACAGCACTGCAGCAGCATCAATGTATAGTAATATTGATAGAGGGCTTCTTGGCAAGGAGAAGGGAATGGAAATTGACATTAATGAAAACATGTTCCCCAAAAGATTAAATGGTAATTAAACAAAAGGGGACAGGAATGAACCGTTGCTTCATGTCTCTCTGTATTAGAACAACAGTCCTTCTGGAGTACATCTGACCTAAGGTAAGTACTGTATTATCTTGTAGTTTGTGGGAGGAACATGTGGCCATTGGTAGAGGAAGCCTCTAGCTCTGTCCAAAGCCCATATCTGGATATGGAGTTGAACATGTCTGAATTTGGCAAAAATTGCATAAAGACTCAGTTTAGCAGTACCAGAATAGATTAATCTACCAGATTAGTCCAAGTGATGCAGCACAAACCATTTTATATTAAAACCAGTTGGTCCTCTTTTTCTATCTAGCGTAGGAAGGATGTGTTTGTTTTCCACACCCAAAGTAAGTACAAAATCTCAGAATCAGATCTGTTCCAATAACATTGCCCATCAATTCTTAATTTCCAGCACAAACTGTTTGAGATATCCACAGCCAGTCACAATGTTTTCTCAATAGTGTAAGCTTGGGAGGCATCTGTGTTCTAATTAGGGCTGTTGGAAATGTGCCTTATTCCCCTCTCTTCTAAGGTGGCTGCATGCCCAGTTAGTGTAGGGTACAGGAGAATGTGAACGCAGAATGCTCAGAGTAACAAACAGAATAAAATTATTTAATATCATCTATTCATCCCCTTCTTCCATGCATTGTTCCTACTCCAGTGGTGCTTGGATGAACTTAATTTGCCACTAGAGGGATGACTTGGATAATTACAGTGAGATGGGTGGTGACAAATTTGAAATATAAATAAATAAGTAAATTACACTGCAGAGCCAGGGCAGGCAACACATTACTATTATGTGTGCAGAACTGCAATAGATCCTCTAGTATGAAGAATGTCTTTCTCCTCCCAGACTAGCTCAAAGTGGATTCAAATTGTACTGGAATCCTTTTTTTAAATTATTTTTTTGTAATAGTGCCAAAGCAGGATGGTAGTCTGTAATGGATATGGGAGTTTAGATGGATGAGTATATTCAGGACGGTGGATTAAGATGATGGCTGTGGAAAGAGTGAAGGATCTTCTGGTGCCTCTGGAACTATCGATGGCTATTAAGGACTTTTGCAGTGGTAGTGGTGGAGTCCAAAATGATTGGAGCCTCTGGAGTGGCTGATGAGGAATGGTTTTGCTGGGAGAAGGCAGTACATGTCTGGTACTGCTGAAGATGGTCTGGGAGCTGGAGAAGATGTTGGAGGTGGCTCTGACTGACTGACTGGACCAGATCAGCTGTTTGGCAGTGGCAGCAACAGCAGTGCTGCTGAACAGTTGTTTCATGGTAGTGCACACTTGCCTGGAGGCACTGCTGATTAGCTGCAATGTCCTGGGGTGTTGGGTGATGGCTGTGAGTGCTTGCTTGGTGGCAGTGAGAACTTGTCTGGCAGCAGTGAGAGCATCTGCTATTGACTGCTCAGTGGTGACAATGGTGGCAACCTGGATATGCCTAGCCTCAGTATGCTGGAGTGCTGGAGCAACTGGAAGCCATAGGAAAGCAGCAGTGGGAGCAGGAGCAGGATGTTGGCCACATTGGCTGTTAGCCTGAGTCCTGCAGCTTCTGCAGAGCCCAGCACCCTATCCAGTAGCAATCTTATCTCCCTCATGTGTTATTGGGAACACAAGGAAGAGGAGTAGGAGAATGGAAGTATTGTGGGGCTTCTTTCTCCAGGGCTGGCTCCACTCACCATTGAGGGGAGAAAGAGGTCTAGCCCTCAGCCCTTGCTTTGTGGGGTGCTTAAGAGTTTGGTTTTCTCTCCAATCCTGTTTAACTTCCACATCTGTGTGGTCATCTGTCAGCATACTGATGATACCAAGTTAAAAATCTCAGTTCTTGGTTAGCTAAGCGATGTTGCTGAGGTTCTGTCTCAGTGTTTGGACGCTGCAGGGATCTGGATGGGGAAGAATAGACTCAGGCTCAATCCTAGCAAAACCAAGTGACCATAGATTTTGGATTATTTGGAGCTGGAGAACTTCCGTCTTTCCTTCTGGATGGGGTTGCATTATCCAGTACTTAATTTTTAGGTCCTCCTAGACTCATGGCTGCTGTTGGAACAGCAAGTGGCAGGTGTAGAGGAATTTAGCTGTGGCCTTGAGAAGGAGGTAAGAGACAAGAAACAGTTACTCAGTCCTGAGAAAAAAGGGTGAGAGACAGACTCAGACTAGCCCTGCTTGTGGTCTTTAAAAACGGGTGGTGGAGGTTTGGGACAGGCTTTCAAGATTCTATTATTATTTCCTATAACAATAAAGTACCATACCTGGAATCCCTGCAATGTTTTGTTTCTTGACCTGGCCTACCTCAAAGAGCTGATAGCCATGGTTCAGAGGCTTTTACCATCTTGTGCAAAGATTTTGTCCATTTCTGACCTGGGAGGCCTTGCTCACTGTCACTCATGCCTTAGATTCACTGCAATGCTGCCCTTGAAAACCACTTGGAAGCTGCAGCTAGTCTAGAATGCAGCAGTGTAAATAATTACAAGTACACCTTGGTATGCTCATGTGTTACTGCTGCTTTGTGAGCCATACTGGCCACCAGTGAATATCTGAGTGGAATTCAAAGTGCTGTTTGTCACCTATAAAACCTTTCATGGCATGGGGCCTGGCTATTTGTGGAATTGCCTACCTCTAATTGCTTCTGCTCATCCAGTGAGATCTGACAGGGTTGGCATACTCCAGGTCCTATCACTCAAGCAATGTCATTTGGTGGGACTTAGGAGACACAACCTTTAAACTAGAGACCTCAATAAGATGGTTCCAGGTTTCTCAATGCATCTCTTTTTTCCCACAACAGAGCTTTATACTGCCTTTTCTGAATCAATATGGCTTGTATCAGTACACCATGTGGGTCTGCTGAATTTATGAATGTGTGCATGTGTGTTTTTAAGCAATACACTCTTAAGCAGTTCTTTTAGCTAGAAGCAGAAACAAATGTTCTACCTAAATTAGTGTTAGCAAGCAACTTCTGCCATACTTGTCACAACACTTGAAATTATTCTAAAACTCACATGGGTAAATCAGCAGACAGCATTATTATATGAAGATGGAGAAAATTCTCTGAAACCAGGAGATTGGAGACTTGCTTGCTCATTGCTAGGGACTATCTACAGTCAACCCACTTGATGCTAAGAGATCATCTTGAAAGGTAGTTCCCATCTACTGTATATATTTTAGACAGAAGATTTCCACAACAACATCACTGGCATGTAGTCACTTTCAAATTGTTTACCCTCATTTAAACAGCCAAACAAATTCAATCAACTTTGAAAGAAAGTAATATAATCCAGAACAATGACTTTCTGGCCCATTCCGTGAGTAGTCTCCCAATAAAGATAATTTTCTACTGTTTTCTGTTCCATTAAGGATGCAAATACACAATATGTTCACTAATAAGACTAAACACAAACCAGCATGGTTACATAACATCTTTAAATTGTACTGCCAAATGCCTAGTTCAATCAGCTCAGCTCATAGTCTAGTGGAAATAAGTAATGCAAGGCTGCCTGTAACAGTACCATTTTTGACAGTGGGAATTTCAGAACATACAAAGCAAAGACGTTAACTTTGATACCTATTGTTGTCCAAACTTTGAGAAATACAAGTATGAAATATGAAAAAGAAATAAATTCCAATGTGCAGTGTTCCATGGAAATATTTGATTCATTGCTTTGAGTTGCATAATGTCAATCTGAGATCAACCACAGATGCTCCCAGATGCTCCCAGAGTGGAACAACAAAGGAAGTCTCCTTAATGTTGAGCATATTAGCACATTTTGAAGGGCCTGTTGACTATTAGATATATCATCAGAATAGGCTGAAATAAAAGTGTTGTACTGATGTAAATCATTTCAGTTCCCTTATGTGCTCCAGCACCAGGCTTTGAATTAATGATTTATTAGATAATCTGTTGGGAATTATAAATTTTGTAGGTGTATAAGGGGAATAATATCCTGACGTCTCATGAAGCCATAATTAGGACTGAGAACTGTAACAGAGCAGGGAGCGAAGGGAAGGCTCTGGGAAAATCAGGGTTGGGTCATTGGTGACTAAGTAACCTCTTTATTGTTGTTTGGTGTGCCAACTTGAAAAACTTAAGGGCAAAAGGATTCAGCCTTCTGTGTATTTTTGTGTAAAGACTTCAAAGTGATATTTTAGTAAGTTAATATTTTTACTTACTGCTGCTAATTATTAAAAACTATTCATAACATTTTATGCTAGTAAAAGGCATCGCTTCTGTTCATAATTTAAATGAAGTTAGCTCTCCAACAGATATTCCAAATGATATTTGAGAGGTAGTCACTACATCTATTGGAGCAGCTGACAAGAGTACAGAAGCAGAAGATAATTTGTTATATCTATTGTTCCAACAGAGAAGAGAGTACTGAAGGATGTTGCTTTTCCAACTCTGGTTCCAGCACCAACTGTGGTTCCAGCATCTCATTGTTGTTCACTATTGGAAAATAATTTAATCTATCCAGTATGCTTTATGTTTTCTTATCAGATGCTTTGCTCAGTTTTTGATTGCTTTGGTTGGTTTTGTAAAAATCAAAGAGCCTGGGCTCATTTTCTGATACTTTAATTTTCTTCCCATCCTCAGATAAGCAGATGAAACAGGAACTGATGGGTAAAATAGTAAAACAAGAAGAAACAATGAATAAAAACTAACAAATAATACAATAAAAACTTAAATGGGGAGAAAGTTAGCTGCAGCAGCAGCTGCACACTAGGTCTAATATTTCCTTGAAATAACTGTCGTTATCATGTTTAGCTGTAAATACAGATATAATTCAACAGGAAAATTCTTTGAATTGTTTCTGTTTCCTTTATCACATGTAGGTATGGTAAGCCTGGATGCAATGCAGACACATGCGACTACTTTCTCAGTTACCGCAGAATAGGAGCAGACATAGAGTTTGAATTGAGTGCTGAGGCTGATGGCTGGGTAGCTGTAGGATTTTCCTCAGATAAGAAAATGGTAAGAATGTGTTGATTGCTGAAGTAATGACTGTTTTTCTCGGGGATAGGAAGGGCATATGAATAAAAATAATGACAAAACGTAGCTATCTGGTACCATGTAGCATTTTGCACAACTGTAATTGAGGTGGCATGGCAGAAATGTGATAACCATTCAAGGGGGTAATAAACAGTTTTAAGTAACACATTTTCCTTTTATGCCTAGATGGTGGTTCACTTAATCAATAAATCTGTTCTTTATGACAAATATGGTTCTGTACCTTTCCCAAAGCTCAGTTAAAAACCACCTATGCTTGAAATGATTTTAATGAAAAGTTTATCTGTACCACACTTGACCTGAGGGGATCCTCCTGTTTTTCCTTCAATTCTTTTTGCTTCAACAGTCACACATAAGGAACTTTTACCATACTTCTTTTCTAGGTACCTGAATATTCCTACGCCCTTCCTTCCTTCCTTCCTTCCTTCCTTCCTTCCTTCCTTCCTTCCTTCCTTCCTTCC